ATAAATAAATAAATAACTTAAGGAATTTTCAACATGTCTTCTGACTGCTAGTTGGTGTTCATGGATGCACTCTGCTAGTCTTCTGCCTGTCTGTCCTACACAGTGGCTGGTACAGGCCTTAAACTGTTTGTTGTAGACAGCCACATATGGGCAGACATAACTGGAGATAGGCGGTCCTGCAAATAACCCAATGCTATGCTATGAAGGGCTTAATAGGTGATAATCAACACATTGAAATGCATCCAGAAGCCTATAGAAAGCCAGTGCAGCTCCTGAAGTAGTGGTGTTACATAGATCTACTACAGTATGCCATTGCATTCTAGACCAATTGTAGCTCCAGATGGTCTTCAAGGGCAGCCCAAAGAACAGCATCCTGCAGTAGTCCAAACAGGAGTTCACCAATGCATAATTGTACATGAGCAGGATCTCCCAATCCAGAAACATGTATAGTTGATGAATTAGACAGAATAGTGCAAAGGCCCAGACCACCTTTGTCTGGTGAAGTGTAACCCCATCCAGAACTAAAGAAATCTCCAGATTGGGGTGGGGGGAGGCATAAGTCATCTATCTCCTGATGCCTGGGGAGGTAGGGAGTGAGTAGGTGTTGAGAGAGGTAGAATGTTGGAAGATTCAGCTTTGTGTTCCATGTGGGTTTCTTTTCTTTTCTTTTCTTTTCTTTTCTTTTCTTTTCTTTTCTTTTCTTTTCTTTTTTCTTTTCTTTTCTCCCTTTTCCTGTCGTTTCTTGTCATCTTTGTCATCTTTTATTATTTATTTTTGTTTCTTACTGTAATTTTTAAATGTTTTTGTTTGTGAGCTTCCCAAAGTAATTGGGAGTCAGCAGCACACAAATTTAATAAATAAATAAAAACTGCCAAATTACTAGCTTTGTAAACCTGAAATGAGGGAGTAGGGTATTGAGATATTGTGGGCTTTGTACAACTAGCCTTTCAGTGCTAGACATGGCAACTTTTCTGAGTAGTGTTTCACTGGGGCAGTTTCTATTTTACACACACACGCACACACACAGATTTCTTTTTCAAGCAAGATTGACTTCTGTTATGAAGATAGGCAGTTAACCCCATGCAACCTGGTAGCACAGGTAGCGTTAGGGTTTATTAAGAACTGAAAATCTGTGTATCTACATGTGTGCTATTATCCCATGCAGCATCTTAACATTTGGTGTGTTGATATTTTGTATTCTCACTACAGAAGCTGAATGTGCCCTCAGTGCTGTCAGTTACAGCCCCAGATAAACGGGGTTGGTTCATCCATCCCTTAGGGAGCCAGCAGGCCTTCCCCCTCTGGATGATGTTTGCTTCTGCCATTCCTGCACTGCTGGTCTTCATCCTTATCTTTATGGAAACCCAGATCACCACGTAAGTGCCAGGCCTTCATGTTACAGATTGGGTTACTCATATTTATCATCCTGTGGGTCCTAAGTAAATGTTAAAAATCACAGTTTCTACCACTGGAAATAGTGAGGAAGTCAGAATCAAGGCAATGAAGAATTTAAAAATTCTTACTATCCACATTGCACAAAAACGTTCCCATCTGCTTCCAGTAACTACAATTTGCATAGTACACAAGAAGCTTTATCTGCAGTGTAGAATTTAACTGCTGGCTCTGCTTTTTCCTTTATTACCAATATGCCCCATCTCTCTCCTAACTAAAAAGAGCTGCTGCAAAACAGTTAAAACCATGCCTTCTTTATACTCCCCTTACTAAAGCAAAACAATGTTAGACTGGCCTTGAAGCTCATACATGTTCTGCTGTCATCTTCTTTTTTTCTAGTCTGATTGTCAGCAAGAAAGAACGGAAGCTGATAAAGGGGTCAGGCTTCCATCTTGATTTGCTGCTTATTGGGACAATGGGAGGACTTTGTGCCCTTTTGGGGTTGCCTTGGCTCACGGCTGCCACTGTCCGCTCCATCACTCATGTCAATGCCCTCACTGTAATGAGCAAGGCCATAGCACCGGGTGAGAAGCCAAAGATCAAGGAAGTGAAAGAACAGCGTGTGACAGGAGTGCTCATCGCTGGCCTTGTTGGTGAGGTCCTCTCAGAGGAACATGTTCTCTGTGGTGATTATGTTCATTTGATGGAGTTAATGGAATCTGCTCTGCCAGCATCTTCTGTTTAATTACTCTCTCTAATACTTTAGTTGGGTTGAAGTTTTGAGCAGATGATTTTGTGAAAATCATAGAAACATGAAAATCAGCAGATCTTCCTCTGCCTTCCAAATTATGAATCTGTATATCTGTATGTATGCCAGCTCCATTCTTTTGAATTCCTTGGAAAGTTACATGTGTGCCATTTTCGGCGTTGTCTCATACTCTCACTATGGTTACATTGGTATCTTTGAAAGAGAATAGAACATTGTGTCCTGTCCGCAGGTCTGTCCATTGCCATGGGAAATATACTGCGTCAGATTCCATTGGCTGTGCTGTTCGGGGTTTTTCTGTATATGGGTGTGACGTCATTGACTGGCATTCAGTTATATGAACGGCTCCTCCTTATCTTCATGCCATCCAAGCATCACCCTGATCACGTTTATGTTATCAAGGTAGTATATCAAGGGAACTGTGAAGGTAAAGGATGAGTCCAGTGGATGGCAAAGTGAAGAGTGTCTATAGGTGGAAGTAGTGAGTGGAAGTTGGGGTGGGATACAAAGACAATGCTTTTATTAAGAATATAGAGACTGTGTATTTGAATAACAGTTACTGTCTGATGTTTCTATTCCTGTTATCTTCTTTCTCCTACTTCCCATAGTTTTCTTTACTGGGAGTCACTGGGAGTCGGGCGGCATATAAATTTATTATTGTTGGTTGCACAGTCAGCCAGTTGTTTAGACTGGATTTGGCATTTTTATCTACCTATCGAGTCCTTCCCAAGGACCTGGGATAGGCAGATGTTGTTGTTTGATGGTGTTAAAGGTATTGTTGCAGGATGTAAGCTGTTCTAAGTAAAGATGCCTTCTGCATTTGACTGATGGTGGTTTTGTAAATGCCAATAGTGTTCAAGTGGTGCTCCAGATGTTTTGGGATTGTACCCAAGGTGCCTATTACTATTGGTACTATCTTTGCTTTTTTTTGCCACAGTCATTTATATGATGATGATGGTGATGATAATGATGATGATGGTGATGATGTTTGATCGCACAGTCAGCCAGATGTTTAGCCTGGATTTGGCATTTTTATCTACCTATCGAGTCCTTCCCAAGGACCTGGGATAGGCAGATGTTGTTGTTTGATGTATTAAAATTATCGTTGCAGGATATAAGCTGTTCCAAGTAAAGCTACCTTTTGCAATTGACTTTACTTGGAACAGCTTATATCCTGTGACGATACTTTTATCATCATCATCATCATCATCATCATCATCATCATCATCATCATCATCTCCAAGTATCCCTTCTTCTTGTTATCAACCTTCCTTTGTCTTTTATACATTTTGATGTACTGTACTGTACTGGCATTTTATTGCCTCTCTAAAGGGCACAGGAAAGGTGACAGGTATATGTGCAATTTGCTTAGCCTAGCTAACGCCCTTCCCTCCTTCAGGTGAAGACTTGGCGAATGAATCTCTTCACATGCATCCAACTAGCCTGCATTGTACTGCTATGGGTGGTAAAATCCACAGTGGCATCACTGGCTTTCCCATTTGTCCTGATCATGACAGTTCCTCTGCGGCGATTCCTGTTGCCACGTTTCTTCCAGGAAAGAGAACTCAAAGCGGTAAGATGCTAAGACAACTAATCTCTTTTTGACCATTATACATGTTTAATTTTGTCAAGTGGGTCTCATGTATTATAAAGTGTGCCATGCAAGTGCCGTTTGAAGAGGAAGAACAAGCAATTTAATGTTACCTTCCTTACTGCACTGGAATAGCAGTTATGCATTTTCCCAGAGATCTCTATACCATCCTCCAACTTTCCCATGCCCTGAGGCTTTTGACTTGTAACAAAGATGCCCACCGTGATTGAAGGGATACTTATTCTTGTCCTTCCCTCTCACTTGCAGCTAGACTCAGAAGATGCAGAGCCAAACTTTGATGAAGATGGGCGAGATGAGTACAATGAACTTCACATGCCAGTATGAGCAAGCTGGTATGTGTCTACTGGCCTTGGTTCTTTCCTGGCTTTGTGGGATAAGCTGTTTTCCTCATGCTCTTCCTGAATAACCACCAATAAGCAATGGCTTTTGAACTGATCGTAGGTCTAGTCCAACCGGCAGCTGAGTCACAACCCTCCCAGAGGCTCCAGACCACAAGAGAACTTGGGCAAGGCAGAGCAGGAGGAGTTGCTGCCTTCTTCTGGACAGACACAGAATATAATTCCAGCCACTGTCACCCATGCTCCTTCTGAACAGACCTTATTGTATTAGTGGTGTGCCATATATTGACCTGAGTAGACACCTTAGCCAGTTGTTATTAGCCTCCTGTCTGGAGAAGTCAAGCAGATTACACTGCTTTGCAGTGCAGAAAACAGCAGCAGGTTAACAAAGGAAGAGGCAACTGAATCTTCCAGAATGTTAAGCCCAATGCTATTCTTTCAGAACTAAGAGTTTTCTGGGGTGGTGGCAGGAAGTGGAGGAATAGCTGGTGTTTCCTTATTGAACTTTAGCCATTTAGTCTCATAACTGTTCAAGAGAGTGCACTACACCTGCTCTTCTGCATGATATCCTTGCCTGGGATTTCGTGTTCATGGGAAACTCTGATCCTTTCCTTTTGAGGAATGGCAGTAAGGATTGTTGAAGACCACAAATTGCAGTGTGTACCAGCAAGGTTTTCAGTACCCTGATCTGCTCAGCGAGTGGAATGTGGTATTTGTGCAATATTCATGGGCACATGCATCTGTTTGGGCACAGTACTCTGCCATTTCTTTGGTTGTCCAAAGAAGTGCAAGTAAAATTTGATGGTACAGCCTGGATACCAGGAACAAACTGACTAATGATGGAGTAAAAATTGTATGATCCATATAGTTCTAACAGTGAAATAATCCAAAAAAGATTTTATACTATTCTCAAGCTGTTTTTCTCCCCTTTTTGGCAAAGGGAGTCAGACATGCAACCAAACAACTAGGGATCTCAGGAGCTAAGGCTAGAACCTAATCTGATTAATTATCTGATCCACCAAGCCTGCTTGTTGTACTCAGTCACCTCCTTTCCACTTAGTATTCTTCCATGCTTTACCCTCCTTGCTCTTCTTGTGTTGTTCATTGGTCCCTCCATGGTCATTGCATTACTCATTTTAATATTTCTTTAAGCAGCCCTAGCTGGTCTAACAGAGTCACATCTCCAGAAAAGCTACTGATACCTTGGCCTTCACAATTAGTGAACTAAGATGTCTCTAGGGGAGAGCTAAAATATTCTGCATTTGTAGTTTTGAAGCACTGTATTGTATGAGCTCTCTATAGGGATAAAGGATTATCTTCATTTGCTTCTTGATATGGCAAAGCAATAGTTCCTACCTCCTGGATTTTATCTGACCCTAAAACCTTCTGCCTTTTTCTCAAGCCCATATCATCCTTATATCTCCCACTGACAACTGCCTAGTTCTCTTTTTCTTTAGTCCTGCTACTTTCTTCTACAACTGCCATATAAAGATCAGATTTTGTAGGGCTAAACTGCATGAAAGATGCATTGGCTTTGTAGACTAAATTTGAACTTTCAGAATCTGAAAAGCCTGCTCCTTTTTCAGTTGCATCCGTTCAGTCATGGACATTGCATTTGTGGCTTGATCCATAGGCTAAACATATGCACAAACACCATGCAGCAGAAGTTCAGCGCAAGATTCGAATAGTGCTGTCCTACTGGGTCATTATGCAGGGACTCTAGTGAACTGTGAAGTCCTGTTCCATAAATCTGTTCTATGAGATTATGTAAGTGGAATAAAAGGTATACTCAAAAGGGCCACCATGACTCTTGCTTCTAGTGAGGCAGAGAACCATATGGAGTAAGAATTTGGTTCATGGCACTACTCTGGTCCATTGCCTCTCTCTGTTAATAAAATGGAGGCTGTCCCTACCCACCTACCTCAGGGGTTGCCTGTTGAGGGCTGGATTGTCATGAAACCATATATAGATTCCTCTATTCATTCCCAGCTGGCTGCCAGCTTACCCCACCCACAGACAGTGACCTCCATCGTGCCCTGTGTAGCAAACCTGAACTGTTGGGGCAGAGACCCCAATACAACTCCTCTGAATGTAATAGGAAGGATGTGGCTGCACCAATAAACTCTTCACTGGTATGTTGTACCTGGCTCCTTTTCTGAGCTTCTGAAATGGAAAATTCAGCAACAAAGCACCACTCAAGTAGAATCAGAGAAAAAGATTCAACTAAGGTTGTTCCTTCCCACTCTTACATGTGGGCATGCATTCTGAGTTGCCTTTTCTACAGATGGTTATTAGCAAGGTTGTTCTTGTGTTCCTTAAGCCTCAGTCCAGTTTATAAATAAACGATGTTGCCATTTCCTGTACCAGTTCAGATCAGAATAATCTACTCTGACTGTTGATGGCTCTCAAATGTCTCGGCCAGGCACCTGTCCTTGGCTTGCCAGCAGAAATCTTGTAATTGGAAACACACAGAATTGAATCTCTTGATTTTATGCAGGCATAGCATGTGTTCTGCTCCCCTCACCAAAGAAGCTATGCCAGTCCTATTTATTTCTGTTGATTAAACTGTACTCCAATTTTCATTAAAAATGTACTCCAGTTTAGGATCAAAGAAAAGACAAATGCAGAACTCTATAAAACAAAGTAACTTTAAGTAACATTAAAAAACTTATCAAGGCTCTGGTATGGGTGCAAAAGTTGCCAACTATACATTGTGTATGAATGCTTATAATGTAAGCAAAATTTAGAAGATTGCTCTAGATGAGGAACCAGAAAGAAAAAATATCCCCAGGACCTTGTGAAAAGAGAGAAACAGCTTGGAGAAAAGGGTGAAGTATCCTTCTGCACTCCATATCACCCCCCTGGAACTGCTTTTCAGGCACCCATCTTGATTTTGTTAGAGAAAGCATGTCCATCTTAAATAAAAACATACTCACCTTTTAATGAAATACCTTGAGGCACAAGTTTTATAGACAAGTTTATTCAAACTGTGCCCCCCAAAGCCCTCTCCTCCTCTTTTTCTTGGCAAATTTTACTTTTAGGAAAAGGAGCGAACAGTTGTGAAATGGCTTCTAAATTATTAAGAGCAGTGTCAGCAGAATATCAGTTTTAAGATTATGATCATCCTTAGCATTTGTACCAGGGGATCCACAGCAAGCCAAGATTTCATCAGAATGACAAAACACAGTCACAATGCATGCTCTGCCCTTACTTGTGTGCAACGTTACAATGCAAGTACAAAAGAGGTAGAGTTTACCCTGCGATATCATAACACGTTTCATTGTTTACCCCCTCCTTGCCTCCCAGTGGAGGGAGCATGCATGAATATAGCTCTTTTCATAAGTTCAAAACACATTCTATTAAACTGTTATCCTATGAATTGTTACAACAATCCTGTAAAGTTGGCCAATATCATTACTTCCATATTATAGCCAAGACTAAAACTGTATGATGGTGGCCTGCTTATATTATTTACTATACCTCAGGTGAAGTTTGAACTAAGGCAGGGCTGGGCAATTTCTTCTGGGTTGGAAGCTGTAACTTAGTCTCAGCCTCCTTGTGGGCTGCAAAATGCCTTTGGAGGACAAGGGGCAGGGCTTCACACAGTGTTTTGGTTGGTTTGGAAGAGTTGGTTTTCTAACTATGGGAATGGAAGTATTTTGTCTTATGGCTGTGCTCCCAACCCTACACTTAAAATAATCTCCAAATCAAATGAAAACTGCATTGCTAGAAATTGGCCATTTTGCTGCTGAATGTTGGTGCTGTCATAGGGCTCATCCTCATGTTCTTTTGACCATAGCACAAAGACATCTCACTAAACATGTTTAAATTATACGTCATGCCCCCTCTGTCTCATCCCCAGCATGCTGCAGAAGAATCCAAAGTCATCTTCAGTTGCAGAACATAGGATTGTAAATGTTAAACAGGGAAAGAATCAAATCCTGAGGTACTATATAGAGGGCTAGACCATCAACACTGATTGGAATTGACACTGGAGGAAGGATAAGAACCACTGTGCCTCCTACTCCCAACCCCCTCAGCTGGTCCAGAAAGATACCATGATCAAAGGCTACTGAGATATCAAGGAGGGCCATGATGGATGCACCGTCCCAGGCCTATCATAGGTCATTTACAAGTGTAATCAATGCCATTTTGGTACTGTGCCCAGGCCCGAAGCCCAACTGAAAGGGGTGCAGATAATCTGCTTCTTCCAGAGCCCTCTGGAATGCCAGCTGACTGCTTTCTCAGCAATCTTCCCCTAAAAGGGAAGGTTGGAGACGGGTTGGAAATTATACACCATTGATTCCAGCAATGGCTTCTTGAGGAAGGAATGGACCACCACCTCCTTAAGTGCTGATGGAACCATTCCCTCCCTAAAGAATACAATCATTACTACCTGAATCCAACAACATGTCACCTCACAGGAGGTCTTGACCAATCAGGAAGAAGTAGACCTAATATTCAGATCACCATGCTTACAGCTTTGAGGCCCACTTTCTCATGGCCAACAGACTCAAACTCTTCCCAAATAACCTTGCTAGACTGTACCTCAGTCAACTAACCAGACCTGCACAGCTGGAGTCCAACTCAGCAAATCCAGGCAACTTTATTTGACAGATGCTTTGAATAATCCTCACAGTGGTCCTTCAGATGGTTTTCTGATCCATCTTTCCCTGAGAGGGACTGGGTCACCTTATACAGGGTTGCCAGATGGCAATCCACAGACACAATAAAAATAGAAAAATGACTATGTTTTGCCACTCTTATCACCACAGTGAAATCTTTAATAAAGGCTCTTACCCATGTTCAATCAGTTTTGCTCTTCTTTCTCTAGCAGCACTCTAAGTATCTTTTCTGTTTCATCTACCAAAGTTCCTCTAAAAACTAGGGACCCTCCAGGATTGACATGCAGATAGAGGGCATGCAGCCACAATTTGATCTAGGGTCATTGCCATCTTCTCATTACAAGAAGTGACTAAGGATTCAGTCAAACTGTGTACCAGATCTTTAAGAACTTCCCCAAACACCCTCTGAAACCAATAGGTATCTGGGGCAGACCAATCAAATTGTCCTTCCTCCTTGTAGTGGGGAGCAAATATTGTAAAGAGAAGAAAAGGTGACCTTGACTGAAATATGCAGGAAATGTTATCTAGGCAAAAGGAGCTGAAGCAATTTTTAAGTCTAGAACAACAAGATAACATTTGGGAGTGGCTCAGGTAGATGCCTCCCTAATTCACTGAACTATAAGAAGGAGGAGGAATACAGTATAACCAGACTTGCAAGATTCTGTTATTAAAACCAATCTCAATAAAAGTAGCATTAGCTTTCTTGGGAAGTTGATTTTCTGGTCTGGTCTACCTAGTTGAGCTGACAAATACAGAAAACTCTAGAGTAATCAAAAGGTGATCCGTCCATGACAAAGAACAAATAACATCCCCAACTACAGACCATGTTGCCACTGCCCTGAGACAAATGTGTTACACACATACACGCACGCACACAACCACAACCACACACCATTGTGCACTAGGCCCTCAAGGACTTGGGTCAGGTCTATAGCTGCTATGGTGGCCATGAACTTCCAAGCTGCTAGGGAAGGCAGGCTGATATTTCACGATACCATAAGCCTGGGAAATGTCACTGACAACCCTGCCATGACATTAAGCACCTCAACAGGAAAGCTGTTAGGAAGTAGGGGACCAGAATGGTAGGAGCCATCCCATTTGTTTCCTAGAGTCCAATTTCACAAACAAACCTGTCTTATATCTGGTTATCTGTGGAGCAGCACCTCTGAAAGCTGCAAGAGTCTTCCAGGTGACAATAGCTACTCCCCGCCCCTGCCTTTGCCTCTGCCCTGGGGTCACAGCTGATGCCACATTCCAAACCCAAGTGGGCACATCTTTTGATAGGGGAATATACATTCTCCATGCCCATCCAGGTCTTGGGTATACACACCAAATCAGCCCTCACATCCTTGATAAGATCATGGATAAGACTGCCTTATTACAGGCTGTTGTTGTTGTTTAGTCGTTAAGTCGTGTCCGACTCTTCGTGACCCCATGAACCAT